GTAGATGTTACTAAAGAGCTCATTTCACAATGGACAACAGAAGTGCTACGTGACTTTCTACAAGGAGGAGACTCAAGCTTGCAAACCGAGGAGTCATTATTTTATGGGTGTTCTCTGCCGGCTGCCTTGACGCTGGGGTAGCTTTTTAGCCATCCGAGGTTAAAGGGAAAGTCCACCCCAAAATAAGTTTGTTTCGATAGAGGCAGAATAATAAGAAAATCAGGTGAGTGAAAGTTTGAGCAAATTCTGAATGAAAATAAGAAAGTTATGAATTATTGAAGTTGTGATCAATCAAATACAAATTGGCAACTCTGTGACTTATTATACGAGCTCTCCTTCATTTGCTTTGTGCATAATATTCCATAAAATCATGTTTTCTTCGTTATTGATGACGGAATATATATTTGTTCCTTGCAGGGGGAGTATAGAAACATATTTGCAATTATTATATTTAGGGTGCATGAATGGTTGAAATTTTTCTTAAGGGAAAATGAAAATTTTAGATTTTTTTAGTACTGAGCAAATGGAAGTTGAGCTCGCATGATACGTCATAGAGTTGCCAATTTGTGTTTGATTGATCACAACTTCAAAAATCCTAACTTCCTTATTTTTAATCGGAATTTGCTCAAACTTTCACTGACTTGTTTCTCTCATTTTTCTACTCCTATTAAAACTAACTTAATTTCAGGGTGGACTTCCCCTTTAAGACTGAGAGGAACTGGACAATGGATGGATAGGGAGGATGGGGGGGGGGGGGGGGGGGGTAGGAATGCAGAACTGGCCTACTATGTATGTACCTACTGGATAAGGACCCTCCATCACTAGAGGGAAAAATAATGAGAGACTTCAAAGAGGGGAAGGCATATAGTTAATTTTGCCTTGTGAAAAAAATTAGATTTAGCCCCTAAAAAAGCGTTCCTTCGGGTATCAAATGATGACAGGTGAAACCTTACAATTGTAGAATTATTATCTGTAATGTGATTTCCAAACCATGTGACAGCCAATGGTGTATGTTGTAAAGGTATTGTAAAAGGCATTGTTTAACACCAGGCCCCCCCCCCCCACTCCGAGAACAGATGGACCCCATGCGTGTTACCAAAATGTCCGGCCCGAGAATTGTACAAAAAGGGGTGTATTAACTTTTCACCCGGAGATTTCTTTAAAAAGGGGGTATTTTTTCTTTATTTCTCTTATCTCTTTGGACTCCTGAGAAATTATTCCGAATTTAGGGGGTACATTGAGCATTTTTCATGATTTAGGGGAGTCTCCAAGGCAGGAAAAGCCCGCGAAAGGGGGGTTCGGAAATGTTGGCAGTCCTCAGATAGGGGGTGCTTTCAAAAAGAGGGAACAAGCATATGCCTACCCTAAATAACACTGAGTGGGGGGGGGGGCCGGGGTTTAACAATGTTTAATTCGAGATTGACGTATGGCCCTACGTGCTACCAGTGTCTGCGATATGGTGTATTAATACTGAAGCCCTAACAAAACTGCACTTCAAAATGATCAAGAAGTGCCTCAAAAAAGTAAAAATCTTTGATTGACCCCTTTTACCATACTCGTTTTCCCTAATAGACTTGTAGTGTTATGAAAAGCGTTTGACAAACCCAAAATTTGGTTTCGATTTCCAATCGTAAATATCTTGAAATCAGACGGGCGATTGGATTGTAAAAGTCATTGAGTTCTTGACTGACCTAAAATTATCATTGCAGCATGAGCTAAATCCAGGATTTTGTTTCAGAATCTGAGATAAAGTTACCGGATCCCTTTAAATGCGTTTGCATTAAAGGTGGTACCCCCCCCCCCCCCCCAACTCAGTGTTATTTAGGGTAAGCACATGCGTGTTCCCAGCACCCCCCCCCCTTCCCTTTTTTTTAGCATAAGTCCCCTGTGTTAAGTCAATACGGGCAGATCTTTTTCATTGCAAAACTCCAGAGAATCCAAAACTCTGCTGCCAGGCTCTGTTCACTTTGATGTACATGTACAGTATATGTATTGTAATTTGTAGGTTTATTCACACTTTTTTTGTTTTGTTTAATATGTAATTGTTTATCAGTCTATTTTTGTTTGTTATAGCGCTTAGAGATTTTGGTGGTAAGCGCTTTAAAAGTAGCGTTTTTTTTATATTTTAATTTTTTAAATTTTGTTACGAACCAGAGATTGGTAGAGATTGGTACTACTTCTTCATAGGATGTCAACTTATATGCATTGCATTAAACCTGTTGATATTGATCTCATGGTTATATTTATTTTATAAATAAAATCAAACAACACAGCGAGGGTTGTAGATGACTACTAAGCAATCATTACTGTATGTAGGACACTGAGTTGAAGTTATTCATGATTTATTCAAGAGAGGAAGGTCAGACAGACCTGATGTTTAAAATATTTAACAAGAGAAACATAGAAACAGAGAGAGGCATTGAGAGAGATGTCGACACTTAATGAAAGAGAAAGAGTGATAATAAGAGAGAGAGAGGGGGAGAGAAAGAGAGAGAGAGAGAGACGGAGAGGGGTGGGAGAGATAGACAGGGAGAGCAAGAATTAGGTGTGAAGAGGAAGATCAAGAGAATGAAAGATTGAATTTTACAAATGTACATGTTTCCATGTACCTTTTCTTAATTTATATTATAATGTGAACGATATAGTGATGGTCTTTGCTTAATTTTAGTTTGCATTCTTTCCTCTCGCCTTGTATTCTAATTTATTATTTTAATTTAGTAAATGTTTGTATAAATATAATTTTGATTTCTATCTCTTCCCCTATGTCATAGCCTTGTTCTTGCTCTCCCTTCCTCATGTTAGTCTATCTCTCTTTCTCTCTCTCTGTAATGATAACCCCTCTATCAATCTTTTCTTCATCAACTCTTGATATATTCCTCCTCTTCTCCTTCTCGTTCATCATCACGATCATCATCATCATCTCAAAACTGTATTAATCAATCTACATGTATAAGACTCCTGAGATTGATCAATACAGTTCTTATAATATATGACCATTATGTACAAACAGTAAGAACAATTATTCCAACTTGATGGGCAACAACGTAATCTCCATTTTCTCCTCCTCGTTCAAATATTGGCTTCTTTTTCAATTTTCATTCTTTACTCGTGTTACTTCTCTTTCTCTCTGACTACAGTGTATACTCACAAGAAAGCAGAATCAATGGTTTGACATGAACCAGTCTAGAAAATGAACTAAATTTATTCAAGTATCAAATACATTTTGAATTTCAGACAGCTTTCTCCCAGGAGATGAAACAAATGTCTCCCTAACCAGAAACTGGCAAAATAACTAAATGCCTTCCCCTCTTTGTAGTCTCTCATTATTCTTCCCTCTAGTGATGGAGGGTCCTTATCCAGTAGCACACAAATGTCTCTATACATAGTAGACGGCCATCTCTACATGCCTTTCTTCCCCCCCCCCCCCATCCATCCATCGTCCAGTTCCTCTCTACCTCTCTACCTCTCTACCTCGAATGGCTGAACAGTACCCCCAGCGTCAGGGCAGAGAACACCCATAAAATAATGACTTCTCCAAGCTTGAGTCCCCTCCTTGTAGAAAGTCACGTATCACTTCTGTTGTCCATTGTGAAATGAGCTCTCTCGTAGCATCCACGTCATCTTCTGATTCATCGGCCATATAGTGTTTGATGATGCTGCAACTGATAAATAAAAGGAAAAAGACAATCAAATTTAAGTTTGTAACCTGAAGAATAACGGTAACAAAAGAACCCTTATCACATTAGATCATGGGGAAATATTTTTGTGCTAAAGGGTGACCCCAACAAGGTGACCTTACCATCAACTGAACAAAATATCGGTCTGCCAAATTCATATTTTCGGGAAAAAATAGATGCTCTAACCGACCCCCCCCCCCCCCCCCCTCATTCACCGGCTGGTTGAGTCGATGTGAAATTTTCGGCACGATTTTCAAATTTTAACCCCCCCCCCCCCCTCGAAAAATTCCTTCATACGCCCCTGTCATGTAGATCCTCAAGTAGAGCTCATCAATACATATAATAGACTATTATATTCAGATCAAGATCGACAAATCTATCGTTTTCATGGCCTTTTTTACTTTTTTACATTTACTAATTGCCATTACTATCCAACTGTCGGTCATTCTAGTAGATCCTATTCCAATATCAAATATGTATAGTCTATAGGATCTAGACCTATTCATATTTCCTGAGACATAAGTCTCATTTTACTGTAAATTTGGTTAACTTCTACCTAAGACACAAGGCAATCAGTCTACTTAAAATGCACACACATTTAAACATACGGGACTAGATCTAGAGGTCTAGGCCTACATTTACTAAAGCTTGACCCGGCCCACTCTCATGCATTACGTCGTATTATCAGCTTTATTCGTCATAAAAATGAATAAACACAAACTGGTTTCTTACCGTACAAACGATACTGGAGTGAAAGAAAATCACTGCAGAATAGCGGATTATGTACAAGATTAAGATGTTGCTTCGATAAGAATCCCGTTGTTTGCAACGGGACAGCTGATCACGGCGAAGGTAAAAATGTACTAGAATTATGTCCCGGCATGCTTTGCGATGAAACAACCGTGAAGACACGGATAATTATCTGGCGGCCGCCAGATAATTAACTGGCGGCCGCCAGATAATTAAGTGGCGGCCGCCAGATAATTAACTGGCGGCCGCCAGATAATTATTTGGCGGCCGCCAGATAATTTCTCTTAAATTTATTTCGTAGGTGGCACTAATGGGCTTCCGTAGTTATGCGCTATATAGCAAATATAATTATTCTAGTTAGATTTTCAAGTACCAAATCCCTTCCCTCGAAAGTTCCATCCCTCTTTTTTGTTCTCACTCATATTGCCCACTTGGACTTATTTTTATAAAAAAACATAAAAATAGCGTATATCTTTTCGCTGCTTCCGATCGGTATGTAGTGTCTGCGTGCACTATGCTATCATGATGTATATAGCTTAGCATGTCAGCGAATGTGTACCTATACGTATTATACGTGACGTAATTTCTCGTATATTGAACGTGAACCCGTACTCCCGAAGAACGTAAACAATCGAGGACCCTACAAATAACGAATAGATCCACAAAAAAGGCACAACCCGTTACTTTTCCCGGCGTATCCAAAACTTCAAATATCACAGAAGGCTGCCTACAGAAGGGAGCGCAAATCGTCAATTTTCAACCGTTTACTACTACTAACGAGTGAGTGAGTCGAGTAGATTAGAAATTTGTTGATTGTATTTGTAATCGTATGTGTGCCAGTGCAGCGCTCGCCGCTATAGCTTAGTCCAGTGAGTGTGAGTGTGACTGACTGTGATGAGCTGAGAGTGGCTGAATTTCTGAAGTGTATGAATAATAATGATATGGGCCCATCAATTCTAGACTGAAAATTTCTGTCTATTTCTTTTGTTAGCCTCTTATTTGGGTAGAGTCGGCTCCTCTCTTTAGAGATAAAAGCCGGCCATAGGGTCTGCTGTCAGAAGTTGGTGGGCTTGGTGGCACGTTTGTTGTGCGATTGCAATGATGATATCTCCCATAATCTCAGAAATTCTTTGACAATTAAAAAAAAAAAATTGCACCAATTCGTATTTAAAAACCTAAGCCGTCCATTTCCATTAACTTTATTAACCCCATCATAATATTTTCAGATGGTAGACCCTAGTACAATTTTTAGAGGAAGCATGTGGGAGTAAATAGATCTAATCAAACGGTGTAATACACCAATGGAAATGTTACATTGAGTTCCATATGTGAGAAGCATTTTAACACTATCTAGTATCTACCTACCTATGTTCGTTTATATGCACTTAGTCTACTTTCATTAGAGTTTCTTTTATTTTCAGATCAAGGATAATGGATCTTCTCGGTGGAAACCGTAAAATTGAATGGAATTCCATGTTCCAGTTCTCACAGCTGTAAGTATAAAATCTCTTAACGAATACAGTCATTATAAGAATATATATCTTCCTGATTGATAACAAAAAGTACATATAGAGTCTAGACAGGGATGGAGATTAAATGATCCCAAAAGTCTTTAAAAAGAAAGAAATACAAGCTGTGCCTGTGCAATGTACATTTGATAATGTTTCAACTTTAAAAGTAAAGACCAGTTTTGTAAACGCCCCCCCTCTCGATCAAAAATTGACATGGAAGCTCTTATTACCAATCATGTGAAATAATATGATTTGACTAAATGACTAATACATGATGATAAAACTTCTTACTTTACCAAGACTGGGCCAAATTTCTTTTCATTTTGATGATTCCCGAACCTTGCAGTACACACCAATACTTATATGCTAGATGATGCAATCGCATGACCAGAACTGGTCTTTATCTAGCATATAAGAATTTGTGTGTATTGCAAGGTTCTGGAATCATCAAAAGATAAGAAATTTGGCCAAGTCTTGGTAAAGTTACAAACACTGTATACAGAAAGATGTATATGGGAATACACAAACACGTGGCGTAAAAATCCTACCCCCAAGTTTTACGATGTTACATGACATATTTAGAATATGAAGGCATTTGAAGAGCCATGCTTTTCAGGGAACATGTCTTATCTGATTGTTTTCCATACTTGCATAATAAGAATGATAATGCTCCCAAATTATTTTTCACCTCTTCCTTCTCAGCCTTCTCTTTAAGTATGACAAAATCTGTCCACCTGTGCAAATGTTTGACTTGCAGGATTAGGCCTTGTATTCTAGAATGAGGCAGTGTGGTTATATTTGAACATAGAATTTATTGAACAAGGATATGTTCCCTTTTCTTCTCACTTCAGGACAAAAGATTGTCAGTCTCATCTGAAGAAAGTCTACTCCTGTTTGGCCATGTGCATGATGGCAGCAGCAGTAGGAAGCTACGTGAATGCTGTGCTTCATATCCTTCAGGTATTAAATATGTCCCTTCTCTCTCTTGAAGCCCCCCCCCCTCCCCTTATACCTCCTCCCCTCCTCCCCTCCTCCCCTAAGGCTCAAACCCTCCACCTTCCCTCCATTTCACAGGGAAATCTGCAGAGGATAACAAGACAGTCTCATTGATTTGAACCTTCTTCTGATGTAAACATTGACCGATCCCACACCCCAAAAATAATTCACAACACTACATCTTGATTTTTAATCTGTACTAGTGCTTCCCATCCCTATGTAATATCGTATAGTATTCATTGCACGACAGAAAAGGGGAATCAATATAGGAATGTGAGTTGGTGTAGTTTTTTTCAGCTCAGTAGTTTACCTGTAATGGGTTTAATGATTGATTGATTTGTTTTATTGTCCACATTGAGTGGAAATTCTTCTTTCACATGGTTACAACTATATACAGTATATAGAGCATAGGTCAATTGAACACATTTTAAGTTACACATTGCTCATTAATAAACTCAGCACTACATTTTTTTAGAACAATAAATCATACTTTTACATTTTAACTATATGATCATATGGACTCGTTGACAACTGTATAATTAATTTAAATATTCATGTATGAATAATATAAATCATTTTAAATGTTAAAGTATTCTTAGTACCAAAATACATTAACGATATTGCCCCCCCCCCCCCTCCCATTACCTTCAGGAAACATCTCATCTTATTACTTTACTATTGAACTGTAATCCTAGGCAGAGTCTAACCTTCCTACCCTACAGATAGTTACATGAATCATGTCTAAAATCTTAGGGCCTGACCAGTATTTGTTCAATCCTCACAGGGTCAATTCCTCACCACCATCGCGACCTTGGGCCTTTTCTTCTGGCTGCGCAGCATTCCTCAGACGGTGGAGAACCAGGGCAAGAGACTGTCCATCCTCCTCGGATTTGCCTTCTGTGTCGGTGAGTACATCTAGTTTGAAACTAGAAGATGGGGTTACAAGAAATTCAGAGCAAGTGTACATGATTTCCAAAGTGTTAAAAGTTGCTAGAGAAGAGCCGAAATGTAAGCCTCCTAAGACAATTCATCATGATTTTTCTTGAATGATGATGGAAATTTTGAGAAAATTTTTATGTGCACAATTGTGCAGGAGGAAAAAATGTTGTTACACTGCTGGCCAAATCATGGTATGTAAGCGAGAATTGTCTTACATGCACAAACTATGATGATAAAAAAGTATCTCTCGTAAGAGGGACCATGATTAATGAACACAGGGCTGCGACTTGTGCTGTAAATTGTTCATGGAGGCTAGAACAATTGGACATCTTGCAAAGTGAACTTTAGAAACAGAGTAAGAATATTAATGCATTAAGATGCTATTTTATAGAATGTGTAGTATTTACAACAGCCATGAAGGCAATGTAGAAGGTGTTTGATGGTATTTTGTGCCATTCATTGTAATTCATTACAAAGACTTATATTATTATTTCAGGTGTGAGCACTGGCCCTCTTCTCAAGGTTGTTGCAGAAATTGATCCTACGTAAGTCAACCTTAAGTTTGTTTAATTGAATAGTCGTAGAGAATAAATCTGTTAAGTATATCTGTAAAGTGCTTAGAGTTGTCCGAGATGTATTAAGCGCTATATAAAGCTGAATATTATTATTATTATTATCATTAAATCTAATCCTATGTTTACAAACAAATTTCAAAGACTTGTTGTCCCCTTCAAAACAGGATCATGACTCCCTGTATGTTATGCAATATTTATGTCTATGTATCAAAGTAGCCAAATGTGAACTTTCCATGAAACATTATTCTCCTTGAAAATCATTGATGATTGATGATGATTAACTAGTAGAGGTTACATGTATGGCAAGGAGGATATTTGTAAACAGGGTCTTGCTTCTTTGCAAAGACAGATTAAGTGTTCAGGACATGCGGTGGAATTAGACAGTTGACTCTTCTTCAATCGATGAACTAATTACGTAGTCGTGCAGAAGTGCCCGAAACATGCAGCCAGTTATAGATGTAGACATGTACAGATTGCTATAATCCAGGTTTACTTGCATTCTTTGTCCTCTGAACTTCGAGCTTTAAAATCATGTCACTTTGTGAGTTTTCTAAGGTTCTTAGTCACTAATCAATAATCAACCCTCCCCTCCCTAGAATAATATTACATGTGAATACTATTGGTATCTACATGTAGTTGTTTGATTACAGTCATATATTTCTTGATGTCATTAATAAACATGAATGATTGGCATGATTATATTTTATTTTGTAGGATCATCACGACAGCATTCATGGCTACCACTGTAGTGTTTGTGTGCTTCAGTCTAGCTGCATTGATGTCACAACAGAGAACTATGCTCTTCTTAGCAGGTAAGGTCAATGCACTATCAGAGATGAGATCCCTGAGATGTGCGTAGCCTTAAGTGCATTTGTTAGTAGAATTGGGCTCATAATGATTAGCAGCTACACATGCATGTTGACTTATTTTACAGGGATCAGATTGCAAATTTGTATACTATTATTAAAGCCTGAGATATCTTGGGCTGAGGTGTAAGGAATCGTGTATTATACCGAATAATTTGCATCCATTAGGTTAACAAGCTAAGAAAGACCCAATAGTTCATCATTTGTCACCTTGCGTAGCTTATTGGTCGTCAAAGGTAGTTTTGTGAAGAGATCAATCTTAGATAAATTGGAAAATAGCAACAAAATTCTTGATCAAAGCTTGATTTACTTGATTTACTCATTGCAAACCCAGCTACGTTCAGAGCGGCCTCCTACCGGGTCCTACATGCTATAAAGGAACCCATGCCTATTTTAACCTGCATGGGCACACACAAGTTTTATTGTATATAGTCTATGTGGGACGACACAAACTTGGTACCCTTGTACCCTCATTGGTACATGACATGATTGACATCCCGGTATAGCTTCCAAGGAGCTGCAATTAGCATTACTGCAACACTTGTTGGATATAGTATGGGTGAATGGGGCATATTTGTGAAAAGCAGTGAAGTGCCAGATACAATGGTAAGCGGAAATGCAATACTAGCACTCTGAATCATTCACAATGAGCTTATGAAGTACAATGTATGAGGGTTATGTATTAAAATGTTTATTTTTGTTTGTTTATTTACTGTGTTTTGTTTGTCTATTTGTTTGTAAAGGACCTCTGATGTCAGGTCTGTCCATGATGTTCATCATGTCTATTGTCAACATCTTCTTCAGGTCAGCCATGGTGTTTCAGGTAAGTCTTCACAGGATTATCAACATTTATTATTTCCAAATGTTCTTATGGAATTATTTGCACGACACCATTAGCAAGGTTCTACCCATTAAATCTATACCAATAATTAATTTGTTGTAATAAAGTAAACATTTCAATTATGTGTTACGATACATGTGAAATAGGTGCAGAAGTTATTACTACAATATGTAAATCAATATTTTGTTCTTAAGAAAGCTATATATGACATTGCAGAGTTGCTGATTGATATTATAGTATAATGAAATCATTAGGAGAACTAAATACAAGAAATTAGGAACGATCCAGAGTTAATTTTGCTACATGTAGGGTCATGCTCAGGTGTTTATCTAATAATGCAAGCTATCTTATCTTTATTTACTAGTTTTTTGCCCTTTTTTCTCCCCATTAATTCCACTATAACTACATGTATATTATTTCTGTATATACATGTACTGCCTAAACAATATTATAGGGCAATTCCACGGTAACGGAAGGACACTCAGACAAGATTTTTGAACTTCAGGTTCATACTAAAAGAACTGTTTTATTAGTATAAGATGTGAAACAGTACAGATATAAGACCTATATAAGTGCCTTTAATTCTCCCCAAAAAAATTGTCATTATAGTTAAGTAGTTTAAGAATGTGCATATTAATTATCTCGGTAACGGAAGGACATAAAAATGGACATGGTTTTTCCAGTTAATTAGTGTTTATCCAAACTTTGTGAAGTTGATGAAGCTTTCCACTTGACTGAAACACATTTTGTTCCCCATAGTTTAATACATACTAATAAAACATTTCTTTTAGTATGAACCTGAAGTTCAAAAATCTTGTCTGAGTGTCCTTCCGTTACCGTGGAATTGCCCTATAGTATATGATTTTTTTAGTCCATTTTCTTAGGTGCCCAAGCTGACGTAGCGATTCCATATGACATGATCGTTTTATTTTTTTCCATTGTATTTTTGTTTAAAAGGTATAATTTTTGTTCTGCCTTGTCTTGTGTATTCAGGCAGTAGCCTTGGCTTGAATGATCCTGTTTACCTGCTTTTTCTTGTTCTATTCAGAGTATACGACTAATAAAAATATAATTTAGATATGAAGTAAGGTGATGTAATGTATTTGACAAATAAAGCCTAAATTGTTGAAGAATGACAGCAATATGTTTTGGAAAATGTCATTAATGTGCATTCTTAGTTTTAGTGATGTATCAATGATTTGAAAATAATAAAAAATGACGATTTCTGTGTTTCCCATGTAGTTTGGTCTGTATCTTGGAGTAGTGATCTTCAGTGCATTCATCCTCTTTGACACCCAACTCATCGTTGAGAAACATCTGAGAGGTGATAGAGACTTCATCATGTAAGTATCACTCACATACTTTAGTCTCTAGAGCCAACTGCACACCATATGATCCGACTGTGGTCCGATTCGTGAAGAAAACATAATTATATTATATATACCGGTATTGTATATAATTTACTAATCACATGAATTTTCACATCCACCTTCATGAAAATTTTACATGTTGGAATGTTAGATGCTGCTTGTAAGTATCGGCTTGCATGGTGATGTAGATATACAGTAGGCTTGCAGATGCACCAAATGCAAGCCTGCTGTATGGTGGAATGTTGTTTATATTTCAATAAAGAAAGGGAAAATGGGAAAAAAGGGTTGTAGCAATGCCTACAAATTGTTTTAAAAAAATCAGTTTGCAGTCAATCTTGTAGTGTGGTGGGCTCAACGGAAATGCTACAATGTCATCTTGATACTAATGAGAATGGAATGTGTGAATAATTTTTCACACAGATCATCTGTATATTCTTTTGTTACGACCATGATTGATGTGGGCTACATTAAAGGTCTCAAAGAGTTTTGGTAGGCCCTCAAGGTATTTTCATCAGATTTCTTTGATTTTGGAGGATAAATAGGTAGATGCTATCAATACGAAGCTCTTGTGAAGTTTTTTCTTTTTTCCTCAAGTGAAATATTACACAAATGAGAGGTACAAAATAATTTAAATACCATACCCAACTACCCATCCTGGGATGTAAATTCTAATAATGGCAACCTGCAATACACATGTGTAATGAGGACTGTGTGTAAACACTTCAGTCTCCACGCACACTGTCTCCAAGTGTAGGATGTGTAGCATCTTTAAGGTAGTCATGCTAAAGTTATGGATGATATTTGAGGGTCATATTGATTTATTGCACATTGCCTACTGGAACCGGATGGGAATATGAGAATTCAGTCCCCAACGGGTAAAGATGATTTCTCCATTCCTACGCTAAGTTTGAGTGATTAATGATGATGAATTATTTCATCCCATCTATTTTGTCTTGTCTTTCCCACTTCAGGCACTCTGTGGACCTATTCCTAGACTTTGTCAACCTGTTCCGTCATATCCTCATCCTGTTGGCTCAGAACAATGAGGTCAGTGTACTTTCTATCTCTCAGTCCATGCATGTTTTGTATGACCTGATAAATGGAATATCAATAAGACTTGAAAATCTATCTACACAAAACATTTGAATATTGATGGAAAAAAGAACACACTCAAATGACTTAAGTCTTGCATAGACTCATTTTAAATAATGAAGATATTGATGAGGAAAAAAAAGAAATAGCAAAAGTGCCCAAATTGCTTCATTTTTAGCAAGCCTTCAAAGTGGATTAGAGATGTTTGTAATTAGGGAATTTTTAATGCATTATCACACAAAAAAAAAAAGGGGGGGGGGGAGGTTTAAAGGGAGTGCCAGATGCCACAGATGATGCAAGTTTGGTGAGATACAAGCATTGAAATAGAGAATGACTTAATTGCTATTAAAGGGATAGTTGAGTTCTGTTTTCAGACCGCAAATGCCTTCAAAGTGCAAGGTTATTGCTCTTATCCTTATCTATGACATTTCTAGTGCCCTTTTAGAACCTAAAATTGCTATGAAGGTAATTTTAGACCCCAAAATGTGTCAAATTTAGCCAATACGATCATACCAATTCAGCTGCACTTTCAAACAAATACGGTGATTGTTAATTAATTTTTAAATTAAAAATAACAATACATGGGACGGCTGGTTGTGTGTAATATAACCAACACAAAAATGCCAACAAAAAAGCCAACATCGGCATGGGTGAAATACAGCGCTATTTTGTTTTTTTCAACGGCTTTTTCAAATTATCTCATATTTGTTGTGGTACACAAGTATTAGAAATCGTTATATTTATGGATATTTCAGCCGTCTCTGAACCGATTTTGATCAAACAAAGATGATTTTGTCATTTAAATTGTAATTTCTTTTAAATATGAAACTCAGTTTTTCATTATCTCACAAAAAATTATTTTGAGTGGCACCCTCTGCAACAGAACTCAACTATCCCTTTTATAGTATTTTAGTTGATAATAACATTTTAGAAGAAGATAGTATACAATTCAATGTTGTTACATATCTGTTAAAATGATTAATTGGGAGAAGCATTTTATCCTCATCTAATTATGTTCCTACTCTTTGCTAATTTACTTTGATTTTCAGAAAAAGGACCGTCGTAACAGGAGGAAGTAGATTCACATCAGGCAACCTGTTAAAACATTCTCATCTCAACAAGCATTCTAGGAGGATCAGAAACCTTTATTTCAAGAGAAAAAATTAAAAAGAGCAACTATAAATCTAATTATCAGATGAGGAACGCTATATATTTATTTTTGATAGGTATTTGTTGATATTGATCAATGTACTTTAGATGATAGAGGTTGGCTTTATCATCCTGAAAATTCACCAAAAAGTTATTTCAATATAGAATGGGAGAAACCCTGTACCTTACACATTCACAATGGAGGTACCGGTATGTGATTTATCACAAATGACTTTATTTTAATATCATCTTTTATATCACAAATAAATTTAGTTTAACATTAGCTATAATGATGGGTATCCCATGTGTATTATCTTTTCAAGAAGCCTTTGCAATGATAATGCATAACACATGAAAGAGTCCTCTTTGCTAAAAATTGATAGTGATTCACTAGTCTTGATATGTGCCTGTGTTTGGTATTTTAATACAAATTATTACATTGCACTTCATAGGATCTACTAAATGAAGGATGTTATTCAGAACACCATTATATAGCAAACATGCATCAATACTCGTGGTGAAGCTTGCTTCTCTTATTTACATGTAATCCAAGAACATTTTCTTAGCTAGTATTTACTCGTAAAGATGTGTAAAATATAGCCACTTTGGTTTCAATGTAGTAATTCATATTGCTTTCACTTCACTTGTGTTGCTTTCTAAGTCTTAAAATTGTTCTTATGTATATTTCAATAAAGAAAGGGAAAAGGGGAAAAAAGGGTTGTAGCAATGCTTACAAATTGTTTTAATTGCTGAAACATTTAGGTGATCATGCATATTGGGCGCCAGTATTTTGGTGAAGGGTGAAGTAAAAAAGATTTATTAATATTTTAAAAAAATTTAACAGAGGTATGAAACATGAAATTAACCATTAACTTTATGGAACAAAGGGAATGATGTATCCTATGTAAATGGATAATTGGGCAATGTAGGATATAGCACAGGAGATCATTTGTACTTGTGGTTACTGGTACATTTACATATTTGATAGATATATTTCTTTTAATCAGCTCTGCACTGTTCAAGGTGATTTCCAGTTAAGAACTATATCAACATGTGTCTGCTACCAGAAGAAATATACATGCACACATGAATATTAAATGTACAATACTATAGATTATGTTTTGATGTGTAACATTAGTTGTGTTTCTCACATTCAGTTTTGAATGTGATAACTTGTGGCACTCAAAGAGCAAAACAGCAGTTGAGTAATATTTGTGTTTGTAAATTTGTCATTATTCAATATTTTATTTAGTAGCATATAGCATTGCATCTTACCGGTATATAGAAATCAGAAGAAAAATCTAATCGAGTAACTCAGATATAAAAATATTTACCATATCATATCAATATTTAAATTTTTGAAGTTATATATTGTATATGATTTACAGAAGAAAATCAGTTGCTGCTGTTCACAATTTTCTGCAAATTTGGTAAAGTTTTGTATCACTTCACTTGTATGTAATTAAAAGGAATTCTCAACTTAAACTACACTGTGACATCTGATTTTTTACACAACCAAATGTGATGTTAATGTGTAAATAATAATAACACTTGATACAAAATGCACAAAATAAGTGTCCAGAGAGAGAGAAATAGGGGGGGGGGGGGGAGGATAGAGAGGGAGAGAAATAGTGGAGGGGGTGGGAAGTGAGATAAAGAGAGAGATTGAGGCGAGACAGAGACAGACGCAAGAGAGGCGAGACAGAAAGAGAGAGAGAGAGAGAGCGCCTTGAGCATGTTCATGTAAAGGCGCTATATAAATATTAATATGTATGTATGTATGTATGTACGAGACAGAGACAGACGCAAGAGAAAGAGGGAGAGGGAGAGAAAGGGGGGGGGGGGGGAGTAGGTGAGATAGAGAGTCTTAGAGAGAATAGAGCACATGAGACGGACAAGGTGAGAGTGAAAGAATACATGAGCATTAAGGAGAGAAAGATGGCTATACCTGTAATGTGTTCTCATCCCATTATTGATCGATACCCATGGTTACCCTGTCCACCTCTCCCTGCCTTCCTCTATATCTTTATTACTTTCCCTCCATCCATCCATCACATTTTCTCTCTCTATCTCCCAATCCACTTTCTTTCATTCTCAGTCCCACTTACTTAATCTCCCCCCCTCCCCCCCTCTCTCTCTTCCTGTCTCTCCCAACCCACTTATTTTCATTCTCAGTCCCACTAACTTAACCCCCCTCTCTCCCCTCCCCCCCTCTCTCTCTTCCTCTCTCTCCCAACCCACTTTCTTTCATTCTCAGTCCCACTTACTTAATCTCCCCCCCTCTCTCCCCCTCCCCCCCCCCTCTCTCTCTTCCTCTCTCTCCCAACCCACTTTCTTTCATTCTCAGTCCCACTAACTTAACCCCCCCTCTTTCCCCCTCCCCCTCCCCCTCTCTCTCTCTTCCTCTCTCTCCCAACCCACTTTCTTTCATTCTCAGTCCCACTAACTTAACCCCCCCCCCTCTTTCCCCCCCCCCCCCCCTCCCCCTCTCTCTCTCTTCCTCTCTCTCCCAACCCACTTTCTTTCATTCTCAGTCCCACTAACTTTTCTCTAAGAAAAACAAAATACTTAGTAACTGAAAATGAAATATTGATAAAAACTCATCAAATCTTGAGAGTTTTACAATACTACAGACATTAGAAAAGGGCTATGAACATGACAAACATTTAAACATCTGGTAAATGAAAACAGCATAGAGATTGTATGAAATAGTTTTCTACAAAATTTACTTTATATACCAAATTTAAGCACTTTCAGAAAATGAAATGACAAAGAATCACACTCTGCTTGCAACACAATAGACACAAATCATCTAAATCTTATATTTCCCATCATACTGATATTTTCTGAAGCCTGAAATTGCCATATATCCACTTGTACATGCTTCATTTCAAATGTAAAGATACCTCCAATTTCAAGCACATCTCCTTCATAAATATCTATTCAATATTCAAACAGTTATCAAATATATCATGCACCGAGAGGCTTTGGTAGAAATTATGAATTCTCTGAGGTTACTGGGGTAGCACTGCAGTAACTATGCTTGTCAATGAAGAGAATCTATAATTTTAACAGCCTAAAAAAAAGTGCATGATATATTCTAATTCATATCCTTCATTTAAAAATAAATAAATAAAGGTAAAAAACATTTATAAAGCTGAACAAATTCAGCAAATAACCAATTGTGTCAGGACTCATAATGACAAGAAATATAAGAAACTGTGTAAACTTTGGGGTCAAGTTCGCCGATGCTCGGTCACATAAGCACATTATTGGCTGACGTGCACTGATGTTTGCATGGGCTATGTGATGTCAAACAGGGTGTATCCAGGATATACCCTGATTGACGTCACACACCCATGTGTTTTCCATGGTGGAAATGTTTTTACATCACATGGAGCCATCCCAAACCATTCCTTGCACTGGAATTCTCTTAGGATATAATAACAAATATATACATGTAGTATTACTTAAGACAAATATATTTTTTGTAAAATAATTGTCAACAATCAGTGGCAAGACAATTCATAATCAAACAGCAGCAATGATAATCTAAAATGCATCTCTATTTTACATGTTAAAAATATAGTTTTACTGTACAAAGATTAAAATAATTCCTCCCTACCTGTATCAATTTAACACTTGGGTGGAAAATGGTTAACGTTGATTCATGTCTCAAAGGACACACACATGCCAACAAGGGCTTGAACTCATGACCTTACAATGTCCAGTCAAGAGTGTTTGAACATTAAACCACTGGCATATGACACCTCTATGTGAATGCATAACCACATGGTCTTTTGGAGTCCTCAAAGGTTTTATTTTCCCTCTATTAAATGGTGGCACATGCTGGGTAAATGTCTTGCTAAAGACAGTTTATGCTGTGTCTTGGACCAGTTGATTCAGAGTCTGGCAGTGACGTACACTGACATCTTTACAGTAAGATGAATATTTATATCTATATTTATACTGTAAATCTTTGATCACAATACATAATTTATCATATGAAATTGCATTTCAAAGTTCTCTGATATAATATTATATTAATACTATGCAGAAATAATGAGTTGTCTTAGATATATTTCATAATCTACATTCAATTAAAAGAAGTTATACTTCCATGAGTAGAATATATACTCATATAATTCACTAAACAAGCAGCAATAGGAATTTGCTTGAACAATAATACATGACTCTCCTTTAATTTGTAAAAATGGTACAAACAACCAGTAAGTAATTATATGAATAAAGTATGCAGGGCTGTTTGATTGCAGGGCTGTTTGATTGCAAGACACATATTTCAGCTGCAAACCCATTCCTTTCTAACTGCATTCTGGCAGTAACACTTAGCGATAACATTTTAAACTTATGATAATAATGATATATTGCATTCTATCATTTTCAAAAGATACACACATGCAACACTTGGTCAATGACTATGTAGAAAGACACTTCATAGTTCACAAAATAATTTTGGCCAAAGTCGTCATACATAATTTATCAGTATTTATCACAGATTTTCTTTCCCCAATATCCTCCTCTGTCAATCTAGCTATCTCTAGGTTTGAGGAGAGGATTATTAGTCACTTGCACGTTAGGTGTGATTTCTTCTTTTTTAAACAGTGGCCTAGAATAATTTTGTTTTTTGTTCAAGAGAAGGCTTCATATCAGATTTGAAGTCTTACAGAAATTTAAAATGCAATGTAAAGAAGGCAAGTAAAATACTTTTTCGCCTTTATGTACCGGTATATTATGTACGTATAAAGAGAGGTAATTAGCATGCTTCATACAAAATTAAACCATGCATTATATAACCACACTTTAACTATTTACTTTGGTCTAATTTCCTAGTTCATAACTTGCAATATTGTCCTTCAGGAGGTCGTCTGCCAGACGAATGTGTTCAATCGCAATCAGGGCTTTCTTCAATTTTGCATGTTCTTTGGACCTTTTAGTCCTGTTCCTCCAATCCCGAAGCATACTCAGTGTTCCCAT